GTCAAGATCAGATGGCTGGCCAGAGAAGACCAACAACAGAGGACTCTGGCGACGAACCTACCAGGAAGGAACTGTGCAACTAATATGCAGAAAGAACGGGAGTTTGGTTGACAATACTTTGAGAAAACCATCAAGTGACGTCACACATAAGGTCATCGCTCGAATGTAACCCCACCAAACGGGAGGTGGCGAGTTGGTCGTCGGTGCGAGTATGATATGGGGGAGGTCGTGTGAAGAGGAGATGAAAGCATTTGGGCAGACGTGGACCCAGCTGAGAACGTCGACGGAGAAATGAGCGCAATGGAGACATGCGGCTGAAGCCGTGTATTCCTCTGGGAACTAAAGGAAACAATACTAATAATAATAGCAATAATAATAGTGGTAGGTAGTATAACGTTTAACATAAAGAAAGGATAGCAGAGGGCAGAATAGAAAGAAATTGACAACAGTAATTGAAATGATAAGTCGATATATGTGCATGACATCGGGTACGACACTGAGACCTCTCAAAATTTAGTATTCATTTTAGCTGAAAGGTATGGGATTTATTTCAGTTTATTAGACGTATGTAAGCCATAAAATGTATGTAGCTGAGCAAATGAATCTTCTTATACTTTTGAAATATCTATATGCTGTTTTTGACAGCTGCAAATTATGTTCATTTCATGCAACTAGGTATTCAGAGTTAAATGTGAAGTGCAATTGTCAGTAGGTTTTTCGGTCTCAGTTGGTTGCCATCTAAAATTGATTGATTGTGTTCGACCAACATTCGAACTGATGATGTTTGCAGAATAAGATGCTATCATTTTGTTGATGATGGCTAGCGGAAAACTCTTTGATATTTGCAAAGATGCATGCGGCGTTGGAGTCTCTGTGGGCAGATCATCAGACACTGAAGATGCACATACTTTAGACTGTAGACTCACGAATAGGAGGAAATGTTGCCTTCTTTACTCCAGTGATAGTCACAGTCAATCAAATAACATCATTTAAACAGAAGGCTACTTTTAGTTTATCGAGAAATCAAACTGATTGTGTACAACTTATTTGTCATTAACTGAATTCAAAATCCTACTGACATGGGGATTGATAACTATTACGGATTAATGTAAAAGCCGGAAAAGCATCCAAGGAATTATAAATACATGCCAAAGTCAAAAATTCATACATGGTTTGAAAGGTCTAACATATCAGGGTGTTGCATCAGCTCAATTTTCAGTCGACTCACTGAATCTAATTCACGTAAAATCACCAAATTCAATCTTAAATTATTACCCTTTCAACGATGTACACAGACGCCACCTCGTAAAACAGGCAGAAACTAATCGTTTACAGAACTAAAAACATTGAAGAACCCTCAGATGACTGTGGAAGTTATCAGATTATGATAAAAGGGTGATATACTCCAAAAATTAACCACACACAAATAACTGACTATCTGGATTTTGTAACGAATCCGCATTGAACAGATACTTTACATCGAAGTGATAACCTCTTCATGAAAATCCCACTGACCTCACTGCGTTCCTTAATGGTAACAGAGTAACGTGTGTACATTGAACAATGTGTTCAGTCAATCTGACTAATATTTTGAGAACAGTTATTCAAAATATTAGCTTACTTCAATTCCTCGACAAAATAATCTGAAAAATATTTCTGTGCATTGATGAGAAAACAATAATTCATTCTGATGTGATCCTGTTACAAATTTCATTTAGATTTTAACAATATTAGCAGATCATTCGATATATGTTTCAAGAGATGTATATTGCTCAGACTGACGAATTTCAAGATATCTAAATGATCAAATGTCATATGGACAATAATGCGTTCGGTTTAACTGAATCAGTCATCTGATAGGCATTTAACTAGGTTACTAACCCAGTAGGTGATACCAGATTACAATTCCATAAATAAACCTAGGTTTCCATGATACGACTGATATTTTCAGTGTGAAAGTATTATGTGATTATAATTAGTATTATCAGATAATGACTTCAAACCAAACACCATGTTTGTTCTTGCCTATTCGTGTGTTTCAAATCCACATCTGTGTCACACGCCTTCACCCTGTCACTCATTATATCTTTACCTATAACTGTTAACAGTTCCAGAAATTTCCTTTCTAGGTTGTGTATCCTGCAGTCCATGACACAAAAGATGACTTTGTCGGAAAAGAAAGAATTTCACTCACTGAAATCGTCCTCTTGCTTTCTATGTCAACGAAGTGAGCAAGTATCATGAATCAAATTATCTTGTGATTCATCGACTCCACTGTTTGTTGACTTCACTGGAGAATTAGCGTGAAGCACATAACAACAAAATCCAGATAAAATGGACTTAAGAAATTACGCATCTTCACTCAAACAGATGGATTTCCTACTATCCTCTCCAAGTTAATTAGCACTAAGTTTTGATTGATTATTCTGGAGTGAAATGCTCGGTCTTCATTCACATGTCGGCTGCACTCAGTGAAAGTCTATTGAAAGGTATCTAACAGGTGAATTTGGTCATAGTTCAATCAAAGAATCCTTGGGTAGACGTTCATTTCATGGAAACTGAACTGAAACACTTATATTTACATATCGACTAATGACATTTGTGCAATAGTTCAAAATCATTATTACATGTTGTGCAATAAAATGAGGTGCATAAATTCAACTGTAAAACATAGTTTGATTGCATGGGACGTGAACAGTGGTGTTATTTGAGCAACTGACTATTGTCATAATTTGTTTCCATTTTGAGAAATTATGTTATTGTTGAATCGATGTTTGCTTGCATATTTCTGACGGCCTTCTTAAATGGCTTGACTACCGAAGTTTTCATGTTGTAGAATGTATCTCCGTCCCTCCTTTTCTTGTCATTTTAATCTTCAATCAGTGACGTTCTATCGCAAATGTTTAATTGTCTTTCAGTCTACGTGGTGTTAGTGAAGAAGAACATGGTGGAAAATTTAACATATAATTGGATTTTTTCAGGCTGAATGATGGCGATTCACACGATGTATTGTCTATGATGAGGCTCATGACGGCATGATCAATCTGAAAATTGACTACAGAAGTTTCTCATTTCTTAGCAAATATGTGTACGCATGTAAATGCCTATTTTATATGCTCTGGCTAGCACAAAGTTCAGTGTGCACGAGATGTTACCGAGGAACACATTTTAACATTCCACATGATTCAAAATGAAATCAGCAACAAGAGGACCCACTACTCCAGTCATACACGGTCTCGATCAGTATCACTAGATTTTCAATTGAGGCCATTTCAAACTATTTTTGAGGTATTTATTTAAAATGATAAGTATGCTTTAGTGAAGATATCTCATGTATGTGGACTAGTTCCGAAAACCATTACGTTACATATTTTCGCTAGCATACATTGAAAATATTGTGCCATTGCCAGACGGGTCGTTTCTCTTGCCTCTGGACTTGCGATCGCCTTCAGAAGTATTCAGTGACAGTTGATATTGCTGTAGGCATCATCAGTTTTTCCGGTTAGTTAAGGACTGTAATAATTGATGTTCTAATCATGTGTAACATGAAGTTTATTTCATGATAAAGATTATGAAATGTAATCTACAATCTGTTTCCCAAATAATCGCCTCAGGAAATCAATTAGTGATGTACCTCTTCATGAGGTTTATTCACGTGATGATGAGAAATGTGTGTAGGTGCATCTGCCCTATTAAGAGAAATGAATTGCATTGCCTAAGAAACCATTTTGGAATGATTCTAACGACTTGTTTCTTCCTCAAATTCATCATTTTGAGTATTATTACTTTTGCAGTGAAAGTTCTGAGATGAGCGCTGTGGACTGCGAAAAAGTATTTGTTCATCAAAACGCTACTCTACTTGAGCTGATTTGATTTGAACATTCACTTACTATACAAGAAACTATGGCGATTTTACCTACGCCTATGTTTTCATTTATCAGTGGAAAATCTCGCTATAGAATGTCTATGTCTGGTGTTTTCATTTGCGTGTATATAGCTCAGAAAATTTGAATTTCAACGAAATCACAGAGATTTCCATTTGTTCGCTACGATTGAGGTACTATTTTGAACATTTAACCCCCACCGTCGAAATGATAGGCGTTTAGATTCATCTGGAGCAAATGATTTTGACCACTCTTTGTTGAATTTTGCTGGTCGAAATTGAGGAAAGCGTCCACCTGAATGTGGTGGTCTATTCGATCCAGTCCAGTTTGGAGGAGCGAAAGGAGGGTACCGATCGAAAAGTGGATGTGATTTAATCCGAAATGTTCCTCCAGGGCTTAGAAGAGGTGTGAACGGAGAATATTGCCCAACTGGAAATGACTCTCCAGTTCTCTGAGGAGTTTGGAATGTCAGGTTTTATAAAGAGAGGCGGGTGTCTGGATCGAGAGTGCCGTCCGAACGAAGATGGAAGTCCTTATGAAAATCTTCCGTGTGATAACACAGCCCTGGTGAGGGCCCAAAATGAGGGCGTTGTTGTCGAAAAGTCAACGATGTTTTAGGAACATTTGGAAGTCCGTAGGCGTTCAACGGAACACCCACAGTACAGAAAATAAATATTCGAACGGGTTAATATATTTCAAATAGGAAACTGAGTAATTGATTTATATGAAGAATCCTGTTGAGTTGAAAAATTATTGATCACATTCAAATTATATTTCTCCGAGAAATCCTGAGCACACTGAGCCACAAACGTAAGCACACAATCGTGTTACGGCCGTCCGAACAACAAATAAACTGTTAATCACCATGGAAGCTGATATAATAATAAAGGAATATGAAGAAAGACTATGTGGGACAGATTTGGAAGAATGTCATCTCTCAGAATGCTTTCATGATTATTATCCTCAAGTGAAAGTTTCTCTCTCTCTCTCTGAAATAGCTTTGCTCATCTTCATGTATATGCGGGTAAATGCTCAGCCGTCCAATATATATATATATATATATAAATTCTCCTAACAAACAGCCACCAGGAATTCAGAAATGCCCAAATTACTTACTTCCACTCATGGATTTTCCAGGTGAAACATACTCACCAATCATCAGTCCATTCATACTATGATGTGAGAACAGATTTTAGAAGTGTGAACTAATTTACGGGAGCAATTTATTCAAAGATTCAACAAGAATTAGGTATGGGAATGTCCTGGAATTAGATGAGGAGAGACTGATGTCAACACCAACTCCACAAACAAACAAACAAATTCGAACATGCATCTGGCATGATGTGATGTGTATAACTCAGATTCAACACTCTACAGCCTTCTTCAATTGATCAACGACAATATTGCCTCATTGAGTACCCAACTTATGCTCTGTACAGGTTACTTGAACTAGTCTCATGAAACGAAACGACAATAAAATCAAACTGACTCTCATTCTATCAAGATGGAGTTGATTTGAATGATGACAGGGAGAAGCGATATTACCTCCATCATTCGTATGAGGTGTGAATCAGATTCTGTGAAGGAAGGAAGAAAGAGCAGAATTGTTATTGAACTGAAAGTGTGAATAGCTGAAGTCCACTCAGTCGGTGTGTATGCGTAACATTTCTCTCTAGCTACATAGGTTTCCAGAGGAGACAATGTCTGTAGAAGGATGCATTAGTATGGTAGAGATTGACTCGTATTATTTTAAAGTAGTCTGTGCACCGATGATGACGAGAAGACTTCATCACACGACATTGTCACAAATGAAGATCACTGAACTGACAGAACTGACTTCACAACGACGAATACACATCGTCATATATACTATGAGATTAGATTCATCAACACAAATTATTAAGTAAGGAATTGAAAAACACGAGTTCTCTATGTTTTCAATTCACTGTGTAATTGAGTATCAAGTGAATTGTTGAGGCCAACAATGCATGTGATTGGAATATATTTCGTCTCAACTGTTGACTATTTCATTCACTTCAGAATTAGATCTCACATGATTTTCATGGTTTGATAGTTTGTGAGTATTTGTGATGAGATTAGTGCTCTTTCTCGAATTAACGAAAGCACATTTAGGTTGTGATTACATCAAGTCATTGATTGAGTGTGTGTATGTTGTGTTAGTCACAGTTGATGCGAAGTTGTCAATAGTGATTTTCGACGTCATGAAGAATAAGTTACCCTCATTCAAGCGGAAGACTGCACTCAGATTATCGTGAAATCAAACTGATTACCTACAACTCATTAGCTGAACTCAAAATCCTAATGACATATGGATTTATGACATTTATGAATTAGTGTAATAGCTGGATCTAAATCGAGGTTCTGTTTCGAACCACTTTCCTAGCAAATTATCATTTTTTGAATTAGAAAACAGATAATTAATGGAGCATCTGTACTTCTGTTAAGCATCCCCATCCATAAGAACCACACTGTCTCTATCCTTTCTAGAGAGATTTCGCTTAAACTTGCCACTGAATATGTTTAAACGACTTAGCAAATTAGCATAATCGAATATTACCCAGTCATCTGCAGATGGATCAAAAATATGCTGGTCTCATAGATGCATATTTCGTGGCTGGACGCAGAATACAGGATAGGCGGAAAGTCCTCCTGTAGACTCATCACTATGATAGATGAACAAGCTTTCCAGTGGGTGAGACTTCAAACTACTACCAGTTGCTTCAAACAAGACAGTCTTACTCATCTAGCCACTAAGTCACACTAGTCATCCCTTGCATAAGTGGTGGGACGAAACACGAGTCCCACAATTTATTGGTAACCACCATCATATTAGGGAAGATCACGTATCCTACCACCTTCATCAAATGGAAATGATGACACGAAGCAAAAGAAGACAATTGTGAGTTTCTTCCAAGAGAAATTCGCGACGATAATCCATTGATTATTAAGACCATACGTTGAGTGACGCATGAAATCCCAAAACACAGGATGTGTCGAAAATACGGTCCTAGATTAGGAATGAAGCATGAATTATAATATACAAATCCCAGTCGCGAGGCATCTGGGCCTGAATGCTGTTCAAGCACAATCAATGTTCGTCGTTAATAAAACACAACAATACTGTGTTAGAAACGACACAGGCATAGAGTAAAACAGCCAGCGAACGTCACACACAGAATAAAAGGATACAAATAAACTTATTTCATCAATTACTGTTACATAGATGAAGCAAATGCAGCAGATTATGTTTAACGATAAGAAATTGGTTGCTATACATGAAATGGCTGTATAGAAAACAAAGTCGAGTCCAGGTTTTGAAAGCGTAGTTCATACTACTCACTAATGATAAGTAGCAAGTAGTGGGTAGGAAAACAACGATCTCGACGAGCTTCTCGATTAGTACTCTGCATTTGCTCAGTTACATAAAACGCTTATTTCTGTGCCGTTTATGACCAGGAAGTTGTGGAATCTATTGTATTTGTTTCACTTTGGAACACTAAACCTGTGGATTTAGTCCCGTTGACTAATGATACCTGTAGCTAACTATTTGGTATATTCTGACTGTTTTACGCTAACTAATATCTATAGTTGTATATATTGTTGGATTTACATACCCAAGTTGACCCAAGTCAGTGAGTCTGCGATTTTGATATCATTTTTGCTAACTGTATTTGACAGTGATACTAGTGTCACGGTTTTTTTATTGTATTTGTCGTTGCCCTTCTTCTTATTGTGAATTTTTATTTTCCTTTGGCTGGTGTTCTTCTGATTGCTTTATTCCTAGTTTCCTGATTCTAATGGGAGTAAACCATAAGGTCGCTCCTCTCTAAACTGCATATACATGTGACAATCCCCTGCTCAGGCGTGAGTCTACCAATCCCACCTTGTAAACAAAGCTGCTGCAGAAACTTCAGTACAATGAGTCTCTTTGTGACAAAAGAAAAAGTCTGTGTGGGGAACTGAAACGTCCCCACCATGCATGAGACTGACGAATCAGCTCAGATTGCACACGAGATGAAAGATGTGCATTCAAGTACTGGGAATATGTGAAAGCAGATGTTATGGAAGTGGATTCACCACATTTTGATTGGAGAGTCGATGATCTACTCAGGTCACCAAGAAGACAACGAGGAGCACACCGAGTGTGTGCTTATCATGATGTAACCAACGACATATATATATATATATGTATTTGGGAGACTATCAGCTGGTGTTTCTATGTCCCGGTCTCTGGTTATTTGGGTGACTCTTCCTGCAATTACGAGTCCCTTTAATTTGACTCCAACGTGATATCATTTCACCTTTATGATTAATATAATCAGTATGGCGCAACACCTTAATTATGAATAGCATATATTGCACACAATGCGAAATTCTTTGACATGTAGTTTTACTTGTATGCCGAACTCATCAATTCTACAAGCTTCTGCATGTAAAACACAACTGAGATTTGTTCAACGATAGACGGATCTATTTCTTTAGTTGAGCAGATCCACCATCAATTTCACAGTTAGACGAGGAGGATTTCCCAACTCACTCACTCACTCCCCATCAAACAAGATATATCAGGTGCTAATTCAGCAGAAGAATATATACGTCTACTCCACGCACCCTTACCACAAACTGCGCCTCAATCACAGCGTGAAGCTGCAATGTTACCATCAACTGTATCGACCAAGAGACCGATCCGTCGTATACTCTGACTCTCTTTATTGCCACTCCCTACATCTCCAACTGACCCATACTTGAACAATAATCTCATCATACAACCAGATTTTCCAGAGAATCATACATTCATATACAAACTTATTCATACATGTGCATGTTTGAGTAAATACACGTATTTGACACTTTCAAAAATCTATTCTCGATCAGAAGTATCACTTCTACATGTTATTCGAAAACTACATTAACCTTCACGTTGCTAGGCTATTCAAATACATTAGAATAAATGTATCAAAATACTAACTGCTTCACAATCATATGTCTTTCGAATCAACCAGTAAGATGTCGTTCATAGTCAGTTCGATTGAAGTTGTCTGAATCTCAGCTTCCTCATTTTACTCACAGCTGAGCAGAATTAGTTGACAGTATCTTCCCTACTAGATACCTGATGATTGTAAGTTTCTGGTGGAAATAAACCTGCAGTTGGATAGGAATTTCCTATATGGTTGCGTCCACTTGTTTTTCTCCAGGTATCCTTTGTCAGCAGCGCAGCATAACTTCAATCAGAGTGATGTTTAAGTGACAACATCGCATTTGGCTTTTAATCTTAATAGTAAGAGAGTCATTACTACAGTACTCTGCAAACAATCCAAACATGTTCCATGCACAATGTGTTTTTCATTCTTCATTAAGGAAGGTGGAATGAGTTGTGATTTCTTCGTTGCTAAGTATAATCGTCAATAATCGACAATAAATTCTCCAGGATTATAAGCTGTGGTGCATGGAAATATAGAACGAAATAACAAGGACGTTGTTCACAAGATGTATTCATTCAACATCGCGTAGTTCGTCATATTCAATTAAGTGTCGAATTTAGACGAACACTTCCGTGAAGGCACCATAAATAATCGAAGACATCTAGAATACACTATTGACTTTTATATGTTACCCATGGCTATGGTCCTAGAATAAACGGGAATGTTGGGTATATATTTTGTGGAAAACGATTTCGTGAATAGATATCTGTTAGATACGGTAGTGTTCATCCGTCGAATGAAGCGTTTGACAATTCTAAGGAATTTAATCCACTGAGTGTTACATTGAATTCATCAGGTTTGGCTGACTCTAGACTTACTTGAAGTAAATTAAACAAACTATATAATGGTTGTTGAGAATGAGTAGAATTTAAAGGTGATCATAACTAGCATGTGTTTCATTTTGTTGATTTTAATTTAGGTGAGGAATGAACAGCAGTTAGAGGGCCATTCGATTCGAAGTAGTACTCGATATAAGTTGACGAACTTCAGAATTTATGGTTCACTTGACTGCGTTTCACCGTCTGAATGGTCAGTTTGACACGTCGTCACCTGAATGTCTCGGTTTTGATGTTCAATGCTTCGGTGGATGTCCACTGCTCTCTAGCACACCCTGTTTTCCAGACGATTTCTAACTACTATCAGTTCGTATTCCCAAGCCACACTCATC